CCTAGAAGCCTGTTTTCCCTCTGTTCCCTCTATTCTTCCTAAAGATAATTCAGATACTGAAGGTAGCGCCCTGTTCATACCGAATTTCCCTCTAGAAAAGCCTTGTCCTGCCCAATGACTGTACTGAAAATTGACAACTCTTAAACTTAGAAATGTATTTTAGGAAGCTACAGTTAATACTGTTATACTATTAACATTAAATAACACTTGAATAGCACTTCAAGCTCTGAAGCAAAAGTCTGTATAAAAAACAAACGATCACAGTTTTTAAGTTACTGTAAATTTCCAAAACATTTAGTTGTGTTCCAATTCAGAATGAAACCAGATTTTTTAAAGCTGAAATTTCCAAAAGGGAAGTTCCAACGTCTGAACAGCTCAGAACCTACAGCAGTATGGCTAAAAAACCACTCTTGATTCTGAACATAAAACCTTTTAATATCAGTGATATTTAGTTGGCTGCAAATTGAGTTATTTCTGATTTGGAGGAATATGAGAGAGACTGATCAAGTCAAGCTCAAGGCAGGCTGTAGTAAATGCTACATTTGTCTTACAATGGACACATTCCCTTTCTTGCATGCTCTTATCCCAAGAAATATTAAATAAAAGTACTTGAAAATTACTAATGTTACACACATTTTTTATTCCAATGTTCTCCATTTAATCATTTTCTGATTTTCTTCACACTTCTCCTGTTCCCAGTATCTCACACTTTTGTATTTGTTTCCATATTCCTGGTCTTCCTCACATTATCTTGCCAGATGAAAGAAGAAAAGAAAACTTCGAGCTACATTTTCTATTGAAATCAATAGAGGCTGAAATGCTGAACAACTGGCCCAAGGAATCTAGAAGTGACAAAATAAAAATGTACCTTCTCAAAAGATTAATTGCAAAGTATTTCAGACATTACCTGACACGCCTGTGAAAGCAATGAGTTATTTGCTGCAAGGTCTTCTTTGAGCTCTTCAATCTCTCTCTTCAGCTCAGCATTTTCTTGATTTAGCAGATAGAGTTCTGCCTACAGTACAAAAAGTATTAAATGTAAAATTAAACATGTAGAAGATAAAAACTTTATTTCAGCAAAATCTATAGACATTATAAACTATGTTTCTACTTTTAATTATTTTCCTAGATTATGGCCACATGAGACATTTTTTGCACAGCTTTAACTGTACACAAGGTAAATTTACTCAGCAAGGAATAGTTTCTGTTGAAGCAAGTTACAGTAAGAAGGTTTCCAGAAATGAGGCATTAGTGTTTTCAAACATATACAGCGTACCATAAATTATTCTCTACTGTGCATAGTTGCATTAATTTCTCCTAAATGCAAGGTCAGAACCTATGTTAATACACACACACACGCGCGCGCATTTTGTTATTTTTGTACCACACGTGATCTTAAATAACGGTTATTCCCTTCCTCCTGTCTGCAACATACTTCCTCTACATATAAAAAAAATCCTAAATGGGCATAAAGCCTATGTAACTAAATCTAGTATCTTCCGGATGGAGAACACAACAGAGGAGAAGAAAACAGAGCAGAAGTAATCAGCTCTAGCCATACACAATTAGAATATGTTTCCTTTAAAGCCATTAACCACTTAAAACATTTAGACCAGTTCCCATTAGCTGAAGATAATGTAAAACAAAGGCCAGATGCTGACAATGACCTCTTCTGGCTATAAAAATCAAAACAAGTATGACTGAAGAGCCAAAAAGAGCTCTCAGAAAATCTCATGCAGACCTGAATGGGTAGAACATTATCTATGCATTGGTAAAGTTACCTGCGCATATGAAGTTCCTCCGCACAAATAAAACTAAACATGTGAAAATAATAATGTCACAGTAAACTGATAACCAGTGATGAGACAAAATATGACTTGAAACAATAGTTTTAGAGGGATTTCAGAGAGAGGAGGGAAAAATAAGCAGTTATCGGGGGAGAGCGGGAGGAACGACTTTTTTCCAGGAGTTCAAAAAGGCAAAAGTCACATTAAAGTCAGAGGATCAGAATGAACACAAGGAACAAGGAGTGAAGGAGGCAGTGAGAACAGATGAACCAACAGCAGCAGATTCAAAGTTATATAGAATTCTGTAGATGAGGACAAAGAGTTTGAATTTCACAGCTGTTTTCTTCTGCTTGAGTTTCTCTCTGCAAATAAATAGCTTCTCATGAAATAAACAATCCCTGTCCATATTATTTCTTTGTACTTAGCCTATATTATAAGAGCTTGCAATATCAAAGCCGTAATTTCTCATTAGTGACTTACAGGCCAAACTAAACTTCACTGAAAAACCTTCTTGACGGTTCAAGAAAACTTCTCTTATTACGGAACCAACAACTGCATGATGACACGCTGAGGTAGTAATTACCATACAGTTCTAGAAAGAAGAGCCATCTGGCTCTGGCTCTTGACAAACTAGCTTCAAGCTTTCCTAGTTCACAGTGACTGAAGAAACGCTACTTCTCTTGCATACTGTAACATTTTGTAAGGCTTACTGGGATTTAGGCAAGCTGTAGAGCAAAAGAAGCAACCAATTAAATGTTATTTGCGTCACACAACCCTGAAAATTATCTGTAAGCGGAGAATCTTGGAAAACCAATTTTGTCAATCATCATTTTCTACACAAGATGAGTCTAGGTTTTGCCTTCACTCTACCAACATTACTGTAAGATTCTTTTTTATTGCACTGGTTCTTAATTTGCCATTGAAAAATTATGTGTAAAATATTCTAGTCATACAGACTGCAAATTGGTAAAGCTGTTTAAACTGAAAGGGAAATACTACGCTCATTTTCTCTAATCAACACCTCCTTCACCCTTCCACAAACATTGACAGCTATGAGTAAGCTTTCTCCATACCTCATAGCTTTCCCTAGACATAACGCTTTCCTTATGCTGTTTCTCTTGCAAGTCTTTTAGCTTTGTCAGCTCATCCTGTGCTTTAACGTGTTCTTCATCAGCACTCAATTTACAAAGGAGAAGATCAGCTTTTGCTTTCTCAGCTTTTTCAACTCTTTCCTGGAAAAGAAAAAGAGTTTTAGATTTTTGCATGAGAACCAACAAAACCTGAGGTAAACCCTATTTATTTATTTTAATTCCCCTAAGGGATAATAGATATTTCACTTAGACATACAAGCGTAGTTTACCACTGAGGTCAATACAAACATGTACCACTGAAAATGGAAAAACAAGTTAGACGAGCATCTGCTATAATGGAGGCAGAGGTGATTTTCTTCAGAAGGATGGACTAATGGTCTTCCAAGGCGTATGTAAGCTTGTTTCCATTATTCTATGCACTTTACAGAACTTGCCTTCCATTTTTCCAGTTCTTCTTTAAGACTTTCCATTTCATCTGTTGATGGGCCAGAAGGGTCAGTGGTTTTCACACTCTGGAGAGAAAAGAGGCAAATACAGTCTTTGTTCGCTTGTTTTTAAATAGGGAATAAATAACTGAGACACGCCAAACAGTGTTCAGATTAAAAGAACAAACACCTTGCAGTTGGATGAAGCGTTTTACCATGGTAATTTTCAATGTATCAGCATTAATGACAGTCCAATATATTTTGCCTGTGTGCCCATTTACTGTTTCTCTCCAATTGTGCAGGCAAGATATGTGGCAACTTAAACATTTTGAGGGACTCATTTAACTTCATAATTAGACCTTGCTAGCATCTGCATGCCAGAGGACAGCATATACCACACAATCTCTCTTAATACATTCTGACAGTTTGAGCAATTCATTTCACTATTTTTTATGGCTGGATGGGGCAAAAATCTAAGAAACTCAACACTAGTCAGTAATTATTTATTAACTAGCCAACTGAAAGTATTCATAGGCTGATATTTTGATAAATCATAGAAGCAAATTATGCATGTTTTTCCAAAAGGAACGAAAGGAACTAAGATCCCCAGCCCGACAAGGGTTTATCTGTATGCTCTCTCAGCAGTTCCTGTAAGTCAACGTACAAAGTATACACAAATCTAAGGAGAAAAATTTGCTCACTTTTTTTTTTTTTTACAAGCTCGTAGAGATTGCACGATAAAAGGTAACATCAAGTGGGAGAAAGGTGATAAAAGTAGTATTTCAGAATTAAAGTACATCAGGGTAGAAGTTCACAAGCACAGGAAAACTGGATAAAGCCCCAAAAAAGAAAAAGTCTTCTTTGTTCTGTTTTGTTTCTATGGCTGCAATATTCTGCAGAATAAAAAAAAAAAATCCAAAGAGACCTGCTGAAACAATCCCTCCCTTTTACATAAGATTACGTAAAACTTGAATGTGAATCATGAAATTTAGGCATGGAAAAGACCTATTAGATAATCTAAGCAATTTGCTTGGTAATGCTGGGTTTTTACTCATAAATAAATAAATAAAAGTAAACGTTTCCACTACTTTGTCCAGTTTCAAATGCCTATTAAGCAACACGGAAATCCACATCTACATAGAACTTAAAACCGGAAAAAAATTCCTTCACCCAAGGGATTAAGTGTAGGAAAACAGACAGATGTACATGCTACAACTGGAAAGTCCTTCTTACTGCAAAATGTTCTAAGACAACAGTTTTCAACCCACAAGAAAACAAAAGAAGAAAAAAAAAGAAAACACAAGAAATCCCTGGAAAAGTCCCATCCAGACTACTTGCCATGCTGCAAGAACTGGATGAAGGGAGGCATTGGGAAAGAGGAAATTCCTTTATAAAATCTCTAGAGAGACAGATCAGCAAGTGAGGTAGAAAAGGAAAGAGCTCACAAAATCTGGAATGGGGCTCTCCCTAGAGAAACGGGAGCCAGCTGCAAGGGAAAGGATGTGGGGAGACCCTGCTAGAACCTGAGGCAAAAGGTTTGGGGAAAGACTTTTATATTGGACAAATGACACGTGGAACTTGTTGGGGGAGAGGGGAAGGCAGAGGACAGGAACGAGAAATGTCCAAAGGATTCAAGGGTGGAAGAAGATGATGCAACTTTGAAAGCCTCAGAACCACCATCCTTGCAGCCCAAACATGTATCTTCACTGCAAGATCCTGCTGTCAAATACAGGTGCTTTCAGGCAGGAAATACTTCAGGAAATACTTACAAAACCACTATCTTTTAACGAACCTGGTGGACTTGTTGAATCCATTGAAATCTGAGGGAACAGAAAACAAGAAATTAGAACATTGAGAGCATTGGCTCTTTTTGTAGCAGAACACTCCAGAACGGAATACCAGAAGCTGTGCTTGGCACAACTTCATGTTTTTCAGACCTGAAAATCAGGCATGTGCGCTAACGTGGTCTAACGCGGCGCCTCAGGAGCGGCCCGGCCCGGCTCCCGCCCGCCTCGGGCACCCAGCTCGCCTCC